TCCAATTCTGCACTGGTAACAAGGAGGGGAAAATGGGCTGGGGGTTGGGGAACCTTCCCAGGATGTGAGCCTTTGGGGTGCAGTAGGTTCTCTCCTGGTCTGTCTCCGCAAAAGGGGGCTTCATGGACCCCTCCCACTTCCAGTCTTTCCCTTCCCAACACACACAGTAGCCAGGCAGCTGGACAGGGCTTTCTTGTGTCCTGTTCTCCTTAATTGGTTTCCCAGGCCCAGGGAAGCAAGTCACAAGTGCACATGCCCAGTTTGGGTGTTCCAGCTGGCACCACCCCCTCCTCATCCCCAGCCTCTCTGAGATGCTCTTGGAAGCCCCCTGGCCTCTCACCAGCCTCTCTCAGCCGAGGGGGTATTCAACAAACTGTTGCTATCACCAAGCACCTTCCCTTCCTTCTCCAGGCCCCCCTCCGCCTGAAGAAGGCTCTCAGGGCAACTAAGACATGAGGGTCCCCCAGCCGCAGGGCCTCCCACCTCCACGACCACCAGGGCCTCCCACCTCCACGACCACCGCAGGATGCCACATCTCCACAACCTTCCTCACTTCCTCCCTTCCACTCACCGTATACAACCCCTGCCGGCAGCATTAGACCGCAGAGCAGGCAGTGTAGGGAGCCTGGGGGGAGGGGGAAAGTGGAGGAGAAACTGTTGATTCATGGCGCTGGAAGGAGTCTTACAGAACATCCAGTCCCATGGTCTCATTGTACAGATGAAGAAAATGAGTCACGGGAGCTGGCTGCCGGCCAAGGTCACAGAGGGACAGACATGCGGGTTCCCCAGACTCCCGAGCTAGACACATTCTTCCTGCTGGACAGCAAGGTTGTAGGGGCCAGAGGATGATTCCCCTTTCACATGGTCCCTTGTTGAACCCTTTCTGTGATGGGCGGAGCTAGGTGATCCCAAGGCCAAGCCAGCCAGAAGCCGGAGGCCCAGTGGGTGGGCAGGCTGGAAATGCGTTTTGGGCAGGGACTCCTAGAGGGTCAGTGTCTAGACACTTCCAGAAAGACCTGGTGCCACCCGCCCCCATGTGCTCTAATTACTGCTGCCCACGTTTTCAGTCTCCAGTAGGCTTGGTGACAGGCACAATGTGTCAGCTGTCAGGCCTCTCCAGGGAGCTCTGGCAGCTGCCTGAAGATTCTCGAACTTTCTCTGAGGAGATGGCTCAGCCACAGTTGGCACAGGCCAGCCAGGGGTGTGGCTAGCAGGGCCAAAGCTGCAGGCACAGTGCCAGGCTGGGAGGCTGGTCTTGGGGCTGCTGCAGAGTACCCCAGACTTTGAGGCCAGGGATGAGGGAAGGGCCTCTCCAATTAAGTAATCCCCAACCCTGCAGTACCCACCTCCTGTTTCCCCTCCCCCACCGCCAAGGCTTCTGGGAAATCCCTGGGGGTGGAATTAGCTGTTCTCTTAATCCCAGAAAAACTACCCCTGGCAGCTCAGTGACTGGAATGCTACAGCAGATGATGTCAAAGAACATTTGGGCAGGTGGGCAAGTGGGGACTGACATTCAGCCCTTGCTTCTCTTGCCAAGCCCTGTGTCTTGGTTTAGGGGTTCAACCTTCTGGAGGAGGGGCATCTGGTCAGGGCTGGAGGCACCCCAGAGAGTCTGGCCCAGCCCTCCCTGTCCTGAGAGGCAAGCCTTGGCTGAACAAAGCACCTGCACCCAGAAGCACACAGACCGCAGCCTTCCCCAGACTGCCTGGGAAGTCCGTCCCCTGCAGGACAGATGATCAGGGGACCTGAGTTCCAACACCTCACCCCCCCTTCCAGCTTTGTGACCTTGAGCAGGTCTGACCCTTAGTTTCCTCATTTCAATAACGGAACTCTGATGAAATACTTGGATATGCTATAAAGCACATGCCCCTGGGTGATTCTCATTAGGCTAAGTCTCAGTACGCAAAATTAAAGGCCCCCTTTCCTCAGTAATGACTAACACTGCTCTGCAAGGGAACCAGGCACTTCGAATGCATTACTGCATTTCAGCTTCACCACAATCCTGCAAGACAGACGCATTATTAGCCATATTTTGCAGATGGGAAAATGTGGGTTCAGAGAGGTCACCAGGCCAATGAACAGCAGCACCCAGATTCAAGCCCAGGCTATCCAACCCCAAAACCCTGTTCTCCCACACCACACCCCCTCTTATCATGACCCAGAGCCACCCATGTCCCCTCCCTTGTGATTGGCAGAGTCCCTCAGGAACTGGTCCACCGAAGGTGAATGTGAGTTCTCCATTCAGCCTCCTCCACACGCTGTGGGCAGAGTGCTGGTTGTTGCCCCTCAGGTTGCACAACTTCCCCTGGCTGGGGCAGCAGGGATGGATCCTCCCGCCTAGTTTCAGGCAGGATGAAGGGAGAGATGAAGGGAGCCTTTGTCTATAAAGTGCTGACAACCCGACAGGCAGCCTCCACCCAAAGCATGGCTGGGCCTGGCAGGACCGCACTTGAAAGCATCCATGACTACACCTGACAGCTCCCTCTAGGGTGGGGCACCTGGGCATCCGTCTGGGCCAAGGTGGGCAGGCAGGGGCAGATGAGGGCCCTCCCTAGCTCCTGAGCTCATCCAGATTTTATAGAGCTGGGGATGGGTGGGGCTGGGAGTGCCAAGGAGTTAAGGCTTGGGGCTTCTGGAAGTTGAGACCCTTGTCAAGTAGCCAGTAGCTCCCAACATGACCCACTGGGCTCATGACATGATGATCCAGCAAGGGAGGTGGGGCAGAGGGCAGGGGTCCTGTCTACCTTGCACCCTTGGCCTGAGAGCCTCAGGTGCTCAGAGGCCTTTCCAGAGGTGACCTCAGATTTGCATGGCCCGGCCCCAGCTCTTCCCTGATGGAGGGCAAGTGGGTAAGAAAGAAAGGCATTCAGGACCTCTCTCTCTGGAAGAGGAAACTGAGGCTCAGGGAGCATGACACTTGCTGCCCCTAGTTCACCCAGGTAAGTGTCCTGCCGTCTGGCCTCCAGCCCCTCATGTGTCCTGCGCAGAGTGAGGCCTCCTGTAGAACTAACAGAGAAGAGCCTCAGCCCCAGGAGCGCGACAAGCAGAGCAGATCTGAGAAAGAGAGACAGCAGGGGACTCCAAGGAAGGAGCCCCTGAGGGTAAGAGTCCTGAGCACTGCAGGCAAGAGGCTTACTCTGCTGGTGTCTTACAGGAGACACCGGGCCAGTCGCTCTCAACCTGTTTCCTCATCTGAAAAGCAGGGATAATAGGAGAGAAGTCGGGAAAAGGGAGGCTGGACCAGGGCCACGCCTATGAAGGCAGGAAAGAGGGAATGTGAGGATTATGGCAGGAGCCGAGGGGCACCCCTCTCTCCTGGAGGTGGGAGATTGGGGCTGGATCCCCCAGGTGGTCAGGTAGGAGACAGGGTTAAGGGGCAGGTCTCGGGCAACAAGCAAGATTTAGCAAACTGTACCAGCTGGAGCCCCCCTTCAGCTGTATTGTAGGAATCAACAACAAAAGGGGATTTATGACCACAATTTAGAAAAAGGGAAACTGAGGCCTAGAGGAAGGAGGGGCCTCGCCCAAAATCACACAGTAAGTCAATGGCAAAGCCCAGGCTACATTCAAGGTTGCTGCATTTCAGCTTCCCTGTCCTCAAGGAAACACAGATTGTGTAGAGCAAGCACAGAGCAGACTTTTGGACACCTGTGACAATCCAGTATGGAGTCACTGTCAGCCATGACAGTTATGTGCCTCAGTTAGACTGGGTCCTGCCATGTCAGGACTGAGGTAACAGGAACACCCTTAGGAGGGGCCCAGAACGCTCAAGACCACAAGTTAAATGCTTGGGAAGGGATTCCACCGGGACACCAATATGAGCGGGACCTCCACCTCTTGTGGGCTGTAAGTGCTCAGAATGCCAACCACCCAGCAGTGCTTGAGCTTGGCTGTCCTGTGGGTCATGACTGGAGCCCTGCTGAACTTCCACTCCACCGGACACGCGCCGCCCCGGTAGCAGCCTGGCTGGAGAAGGATGTCTGCCTCTCCACCTGCAGACGCTGGCGCCAGTGACCAGGACTGTCGGTGGACGCGTGCTCCGCATGCATAAACTCCCCTCTCTGTGTGTGACCTGTGTGTGACTCTATTGGCTTACAGGGGAGGTCTCCCCTAATGCACCTGATGTTGTGGAAAGACACAGATGTGTGTGTGTGACTCCTTTCAGTGATGTTCCCTTGCTCACAACATAGACATAATGTACAGATTGACAATAACCTCCCTTCCTCCTGTCTCCTTCTTGGCGCTGGACCTGGGGTTTCAAATCTGGGACCGGCCCCACTGCTCCGGGCAGGGGCAATGGCCAGACCCCCACATGCCCCTGCCTCTGCCAGAGGGACGGGCACATATGCTCCTTCCTCCCCCCTCCCTCCAATCCCAGGTACACAGTAACACTAACAAACAATGACCACATACCAGCCCTGGGCTACAGTCTGTGCTTGCATTAAGTCACCGAATCCTCATACCAACCCGATGAGATAACCATTATCATCATCGTCATCTCCATTTTCCAGATGGGAAAACTGAGGCACACAGTCTAACTAGCACTATCGGCAGAACCAGGATGTGAACTTAAGCAGCCTGGCTCCACAGCCCACACCCCTAAAAACCACACCAGACTGCTTCTTAAGATATTATACCACATATACCCTGTGGTTCAAATCTGGCTCTGCTGCTTTCTAGTTGTGTAGTCTGGGACAAGTGGCTCAACCTCTCAGTTTTGTCCAGCAGGACAAAAGGGTGGGACTGTCCACAGGTAACAGTCCAGTGCGTTAGCCGCCGGGTCTGCAAGTGTCCAACAGTGGGCACTGCATCAGCATCAGTGCTTCAGTCATTTGTGTTTTTTCAACCAGAGAAGTTTCCAGATGTGGGTAGAGCCTTCCTCGCCCCGCCCCCGCCCCGGTATGCAGGGGGAGGAGCTGCCACTAGCAGTCATTGCCGTTAATAGAGAACTGAAGCACCGCCTGCTAAAAATATCCGGCTGAAGCCCTTTAAAAGCTCAGCTGGCGCCAGCGCCGAACATTCTCGGATCCTCAGCCAGAAGTGCAGAACCGAGTCAGCATGGCCGAGCGCCGCGTTCCCTTCTCGCTCCTGCGGACCTCTAGCTGGGACCCTTTCCGCGACTGGTACCCGATCCACAGCCGCCTCTTCGACCAGGCCTTCGGAATGCCGCGGCTGCCGGAGGAATGGTCGCAGTTGTTCAGCCACAGCGGCTGGCCGGGCTACGTGCGCCCGCTGACCGCCGCCGGCGAGGGATCCCGGGCAGTGGCTGCGCCCGTCTACAGCCACGCGCTCAACAGGCAACTCAGCAGCGGCATCTCGGAGATCCAGCACACCGCCGACCGCTGGCGCGTGTCCCTGGACGTCAACCACTTCGCCCCCGAGGAGCTGACGGTCAAGACCAAGGATGGTGTGGTGGAGATCACCGGTAAGCCCCCCACCCCCACCCTGCGGGGATGAAGCTGACTGGGTGGGAAGCCTGGCCCTGCCCCGGGTCTGTGCCCCTTTCTCCAGAATAGAGGGTGCGGATAGCTTCTAAGGGGCCTTTTGACCTTAAAAATCGCTCTATTAGGGGAAGAATCGCCCTTCCAGGGGAGATCGCCTCCCTAGCCACCAGCCCGCCCCAATAATCAGGTTCCCCAGAGCTGTTCCTGCCTCATCCCGGTCCGTGGAGGGGGCGTGTGCGCCAGGCAACCAAACTTTCCAGAAACTTTTGAGGGCCTGGGACAGTCTTGGGCCCTCAAATCCCTCCACCAGTTCTGTGTCTGCCATGAATCCAGGCCACCAGGTGGGGCGTGTTTGTGTGTAGGCTGGCCTGAGAGGCGGCCCCTCGCTCACGCTCTGACGACCTTCCTTTTTCCAGGCAAGCACGAAGAGAGACAGGATGAACACGGCTACATTTCCCGGTGCTTCACTCGAAAATACACGTGAGTCCTGGGCCAGATGGTGGGGGAACTGGAGGAGGGTGCAGTGACTTAACTGTGTGTGACTTTTGTCCTCTCTCCCTCTGCATTTCCAGGCTTCCTCCTGGTGTGGACCCCACCCTGGTGTCCTCCTCCCTGTCCCCTGAAGGCACGCTCACTGTGGAGGCCCCCATGCCCAAACCAGCCAGCCAATCAGCAGAGATCACCATCCCTGTCACCTTCGAGGCCCGCGCCCAGCTTGGGGGCCCGGAAGCTGGGAAGTCTGAGCAGCCTGGAGCCAAGTGAAGGCCTTAGACCTGCCGTCACTGGCCATCCCTCCCTGTCAGCCTGTATGCTCTTTTGATATATGTTCCTGCTTTTCTCAAATAAAGTTCAAAGCAACTGCCTACTATTGTCTCAGACCCTGGTGTTTGTGGAGGCCTGGGATTGGTGCCATTTGCTGGCTCACAGGTTCCTTGCACTTGCTGAGGGCCTGCTGTGTGCCAAGCCCCCTGCTGGGCCCTGTGGGTGCAGCGGTATCCATCACAGGGCTCAGCCTCGCTCTCCAGCCTAGCTTCCATTAAGAGAGAAGTAATGATTATAGCCAGCTATTAAAACCCCAGGTTTGGGCAATCAGGGACATCAAGGCTGGGGTCAAGTGGAAGGGGACAGCAGGGCTCGGGGAGAGAAACTTCTGGGAGCTATTACTGGCTTCGTCATAACTTTGTCATCCTCCTAGAGAGGGACAGGACCATGTCTGGGAGGTGCAGTGACTTTCTGAGGGGAGGTGGGTCTGGTCGGAGGGCCCATTCTCCCTCCCCCAATGCTTGCACATGCAGGGTGGGCCCTGGGCGTCCAGGCCTGAGGATGGCCACCGGAGAGTGGGACTAGGTTTTTGAGGAAGAGAGGCAAAGACCCAGACAGGGAGGGTGGTCGGTGCTCTGGGAGGTCCTGCCTTGCTGGGGCCGGGCAGGAACATCACACCTACCTTGGCCCTCCCCTTGGGCCACCCTTGTCCAACCTGCCTGCCTCTCACCTGGCCCCAGGAGGGTTCCCAGGGACCTGGGGGAGGGAGAGATCAGATGAGGGATTCGGAGCCCAGCCTCAAGTGCTCCAGAGTTTGAGAGACCACACACTATCTCCACAGACAAGGTGCCGGAGCCTGAGTCTGTGGCAGGACACTCCTGCGTTCTTTTCTAAGCCCACGGCCCTACTTTCCCAGGGAGTACCACCCCTGATGCTGCCCGGCTCCCTCATTTCCCCTCTCTGGTGCAGGCTCCCTGTTGGGATTCCACCACATGGGGCAGGAATAAAGCCAAAGCAGGTCCCAGCCCTCAGAGGCTTTACCAGACCTGGAGGGAAGCCAACTGGGAAATAAGTACATGGGCCCAGGAATGCTGCACCGGCCCGGCTGGCAGCACAGGTCGGGGCTGAACCCACCCTTCCACCTTTCATTTCCTAAGCTCCAGTCTCCTAAATCTGCCGTCCCCCTTCCAGACACACACATCCCACATCTCAGGTGTATCCTGGACACCTCCATGCTCCTGCAGCCACAACCCAGAGTCAACCCGTCTAGTTCTCGCCCTTGCTCTGATCACCAGCAACCGTGTAGCTGGCAGTGGGATGGCCCTGGCCTCCAGCGGTGTGGCTTCATCTTCCCACCCGTCAGAGAGAGCTGTAGCCAGGCTGCTAGTGCCCTTGAAGTGTGGGAAAGCTGATGCCAAGCCTCTGACAAGGTAATCCTCACATCAGCCCTAGGAACAGGTCCAGTTAGTCCTGCTTAACCAGGCACAGGCGAGCTTCAAAGAAGTGAAGAAACGCCCTTGTCCACACAGCTAGTCCTGGAGGGGTAAGGGACATCTGTGTGGCCACAGGCAGGGAAGGGCAGGGTAGCTCAGACAGGAAGGCTGGGTGGGGCAGGGTTCCACTGCTTAAAGCGCTGCAAATGAGGCTTGGAGAGACCTCAGGAAGAGGAGGACAGGGATGCAGTCGAGCCCAGGGGCCGTGTAGCTGCTCAAGGCAGCCAGGCTGCAAATGGCCCAGGGAGAGCTTCTAGGGGTCTCAGACCTGGAGTCCAGAGCCATGGTCTAGGGCAGGCAGGGATCAGTGCCTAGGGTGCTGTCAGTGCTGTAGGAGTGGGGTCCGAGGGCAGCTGCTTTGAAGTCCCTAGGGTTCAGGCCACCATCTGGCACACAGCCGGGGCACGGGCTGGGTGGGAGGGAAGGAATGCACTCCTGGCATAGGAAAGAGGCCCCAGGCTCCATGGGAAACTAATAGGAAAGGGGGAAGCAGGCAGACGTCCTCCTGTAGCCTGCCTGGGCTGCACGAAGGGCAGAGGCAGAGGAGGCTGAGGTGGGATGGCCCTGTGCCTAGAGCCCAGCTCAGAAGATGTGGAATCTGAGGTGGCACCTCTGGGCAGAGTGGACAGGGCTGGCTGGCTCAGGTTGGGGTCTCTACTGGGAAGGGCTGGCACCAGGCTTTGGGAGACCTGGTGAGTCCCTGCACTGCTGCTGCGACACAGGAGCAGTTCCAAGCCTCTCCAGGCATTTCCCTGATTTTCAATGGGCCCTTCTCTAAAGGCCTCTGATGTCCTTCACATTTGCAGATTCAGATATTGGCCTTGATCTGGTGAATGCTAGCATCTGGGCCCCTCTGTTCAGCCGTAGGGTGTCTGAGAGGCCATGCCCCGTGCCCCAGGCCAATGGGGAAGGTTCCCTCTAGGACCTTAAGTCTCTGTGGTTGCTGGTCACCCCTGGCTGGTGCCGGCCCTCCCAGAGATCTGTAGGGTGCACGAGCCCCTCTCAGTTCCAGGCTGATTCCCTGGTCTCTCCTTTTCTCTCTCCCTCCCAGTTGGGAAATCTGCCCTCCCTGTTGGCACCTCCTCTGGCCCAACACCCAGCCAGTCCGTCCAAGTCCCTGCTCTCAAGGGTGCAAGTGAAGGAAACAGTTCAGTGACAAGCAGCACTATGTGTCAGAGACAGGCTGGGGCGTGCTCCAGAGTGCTCTGGAGTCTTAGTGCAGTGGGGGAAAGTGGCCCCTGTGTGATAACCAAGGGGGAACAGCACAGGCAAGAGCTGGAAGGCTAGCATGTTCAGGTGGAGGAGAAGCAGCAAGTAGAGGGAGAGAGACAGGGCAAATGAGGGAGGGTGGTGGGGCCCTGTCTTAGAGGGCACTGAAGGCCATGCTTTGGAGGCTGCGGCATCAGCGAGGGTGTAAGCATCTCTGCTTCAGAAACAGGTTCCGTATCTTAAAGGAGAATGGTTGGCAGGAGCCAGCCAAGAAGCAGGGGGCAATGTGCTGCCAAGATGCAGTGGATATGGGTCCTGTCAGGGAGAGAGGGAAAGAACCAGGTGCCTGGGGTGGCAGCAGCAGGCTCTGCAGTGTGCCGTGACAGACTGGAGGCAGGGGTGTGGGGAGCAGGTGGAGAAGGTGGGGATCTGCCCAGGCTGTGGCTCCTGACCTGGGGCTTGCTGACTGTGTTGTCTCTGCAAGGTGGAGCAGACCCCAGACCTTGGCTGCTGGCTGAGGGGATTGTTTCCAGATAGCATCATCTTCCCCGCTACAGAAGCATCATAGGCTTTTCCAGCTGCAGACTGCTCTGAGGAGAGGGCAGAGTGGGAGGCAAAAGTTGGAGGTCCCCAGTGCTGGGTCCAAAGGGTGTGGCTGGAGAACCTTTGTGATAGGGCAGGGGCAACCAAAGGACTAAAGAAGAGGAGGATCAGACAGGACTGGGGCCCTTGGCCAAGAACTGACCACTGGGTTAAGACAGACCCCAGATCCTTTGGTTTTCTGAAAGCCACCCAAGCCCTACTCTGCCCTATCCTGGCAGAGCCCAGGGCAGAGCAGGAATCAAGCTGGTCAGGGTCCTATCTGTTGGCCTTACATTGAGCTCCCTGCACCCTACCCCTACATGCACACAGTGGGACCTGAGGATTGGGGCAGCACCCGGGAGCTCAGGGCTCGGCCCCAAGCTCAGAAATGCATGGCAGCAAGGAGCTGCCGGCCCAGAGCCAAAGCACAAAAGGAGAGGGAGGAAGCTGCATGGGTGAGGGCACCTGGGCACGCTGCGCTGGTCTCAGCCAGAACTGGCACTAGGTGAAACGGGGGCTCAGCCCTGCCCTCCTGTGACTCTCCCAGGGAAGCGGCCCCAGCAAACGTGGAGGAGGCCCACCATATGTCCTCCACCCTCAAAGAGTGCACTATCTGTCCATCAACCAATGTCCTGTGTGCCAGCCCAAGGGAGCACAGGGTCCCCTGGGGGAGACCCACTGAAAGGTTTTTTTAGGCTCCATCGAGGAATAAATGCTAATCAGCCACAAAACTACACAGTATAGAGCTTTATTGGGGTTTGCACGCCCAGGCGATGTTTCTCGGTCCGCACGGTGGGGCCGAGAGAGATGCGGCAGCCATTAGAGGGAGAACAACTTGGCCTTTGGTGGAGTGGAGACTCCCTCGGCCATTGTGCAGGGAGGACCACGCGGCTGGGGCAGTGGAGAGAGACCCTCACGGCTTTGCCAGAGTGGGGACCCCCGCAGCTTTAGAAGGGGGAACCATCGCCCGGCTTTAGCAGAGGTCCCGGCGACACAGCTGATGGTGCTGGGAACCGAGGGAGGCCTCCCAGCCAAGATGGATTACTGGGAAGAACCGGGGGCTGCCTGAGCACGAACTTCTATTTCCTTTCCTGAGATACGGTACCCCTGATTGGGCAAAGGGGGAAGGAAGGACTGTACGTGTTTGTGGGTGTTTTAAGGGACTTTGTGATCTTTTTATGAAGACATTAGGTCACTACTTTAAGTCTGCACAGAATTAAATAAACATTTTGTCAGGATGCGCGGGGTAGGACAAATGGCAGCTGGACTACAATCAATCATGGCGGCTGAACTACAACCCGGAAGAGATGGCTGACGTCAAACCAGGGTTCAAGGGGAAGCACCAATGATATGTTGCCGCTTTGTTCACAAGGGACCAATCCCCAGCTCCCACGGAGACCCAGCCCAAAGTAAAACCTCGCCATTTTCCCTGCTCGGCAGCGGCTTTCTCGGCCCCTCTCTGTGTGGACGTGGGTGGGGGGATCTCACCGGGGTGCAACCCCAAATAAAGTGCCCTATATTGCCTAATTTTGTGGCTAATAGGTATTTATTCCTCAAGGAGTCTAAGAAAATCTTTCACCCACCAGTAAGCAGGAACTCGTTCCATGTCTGGCAAAATCTTCCTGGTCAAGGGCTCTGGGTCCTCCACCTCCTCTTCCTCCACCTGGCCAGGTGACTTTGGATTTCACCATATATATATAACCATGCCTCCCAAGGATGAACCACATTCTCCTAGGCTTCTTATTAGATAGCTCTACCAACTGCTGGTGGTGCTGGGAGAGCTGGCAGCATGAAAAGTGCCAGGAATCCCAGAGTCAGC